AACAATAAATCTTTTTTAAAAATAAATTTTCCATTAATAATAATAAATGCAAAACTCGTTAAAATAAGATTTCTTGAATTTAAAAAGTAAGTGATTTAAAGAAATAAACCATAGTACAGGCTATACTGGAAATGTTTTCAATTACAAATTTTCAGTTTCTTTAATAGACATAGTACAATTCTGGTTATTTTCTTTCTGTTGGCGAGCTGTAGTAGTTTGTGTTTTTCAAGGAATTTGCGCATTTTATCTGAGTTGTCAGACTTATTAACAAAATTATTCATAGTATTCTCTATCCTTTTTAAAGTCCTCAAGGTCTATACTGATGTGCTGTCATTTCTGATATTTGTGATTTGTCTTCTCTTACTAATATCTGCTAGAAGTGTATCAGTTTTATTGATCCTTTATAAGAACAGGTCGTGGTCTTACAGTTTCTCTATGGATTGTCTATTTCTATGATATTGATTTCTGCTGTTGAATGTTTCCTTGCTTCTACTTATTTAGTTTTAATNTGACATTTTGTCCCACTTCCTTGTATTTTTTCTCTATAATTCTTTTAAACTTCATTTATTTCACACATATTAACTATGGAAATATCTGCCAGGCACCCTTCTAGGCACTGGGGATAGTGGACCAGAGAGATCAAGCCCATGCCTGTTCTAAGTCCTTTGCATTTCCATGTACATTTTAGGATCAGCTTTTCAGTTTTTGTAAAATACCAGCTAGGATTTTGATTGGGATTGTGTTTAACCTATAGATCAATCTAGAATGAATTGACATCTTAAAAATACCAATTCATGAACATGGTATCTATCTTTATTTAGGTCTTTCTTAATTTCTCTCATTAATGGTTTTTAGGGTCTTTTTGATAAAAGCCACCCAAAATTTTTAAAATGGTCTTTTGTTTTCAGTGTACAGGTCTTGTGCGTGTTTTGTTAACATTTATTCCTAAGTATTTCTTATCTTTATGCTATTGAAATGGAATTGTTTTAAGATTTCAATTTAAAATTGTTTGTTGGTAGTATATCAAAATAAAATTGGTTTTTGTATCCTGAAACCTTGCTAAATTTACTTATTATTTTTGGTAGCTCTTTTGTAGATCCTTAGGATTTTCAACATAGATAGTCATATTGTCAGTGAATAAAAAATTTTATTTCTGCCTTTCCAATTAGTATAACTGTTATTTCTTCTTCTTGCCTAATTGTACTTGCTAGGTCTCCAGTATAATGTTGAATAAAAGTGGTGTAAGTCGACATCCTGCCTCATTCCCATTCTTAGCGGAAGAACATTGTCTGTCTTGGTTGGGTGTATGAACTTTAGAAAGTCCTTTATCAGGTTGAGGAAGTTCTCTTCTATTCCTACATGACGGACATTTTTGTCATAAATGAGTGTTGAATTTTGTCAAATACTCTTTCTGGTATCTATTGAGATGATTGTATGGTTCGTTTTTGTTTTTGTTTTTGTTTTTTAGTTTCTTAATAGTAAATACATATAATAGTAAATTATATTGATTGATTTTGGAATGTTAATCCACCTTGCATACCTGGAGTACACCCAAAATGATCATGGTCTTTTTCATATGCTTTTTGGGTTTGACTTGTTAAAATTTTGTTAAGGATTTTTACATGTATATTTATGAGTGCAGTGATCTGTAGTTTTCTTTTCTTGTATTGTCTTTGTCATGTTTTGGTATCAACGTTATACCAGACACATAAAAGGAGATGGGAATTGTTCTCTCCTCTTCTTTTTAGTGAAGGAGTTTGTATAGAATTGGTATTGTTTCTTCCCTAAATGCTTCGTAAAATTTGCCAGTGAGGCAACCTGGACCATTCACCTTTCTTTGTGGGAAGGTTTGTGGTTTGGTTTGCTTTTTACAGTTTTTAATTTTACTAGCATTTCTAATTTATATCAAATAATATACTATTTTTCACTTAGAACAATAAATCTTTTTAAAAATAAATTTTACATTAATAATAATAAATGCAAAACTCCTGTTAAAATAAGATTTATTGAATTAGAAAAAGTAAGTGATTTAAAGAAATAAACCATAGTACAGGCAATACTGGAAAGGTTTTCAATTACAAATTTTCAGTTTCCTTAATAGACAGTACAATTCTGGTTATTTTCTTTCTGTTGGCGAGCTGTGGTAGTTTGTGTTTTTCAAGGAATATGTGCATTTTATCTAAGTTGTCAGACTTATTAACAAAATTATTCATAGTATTCTCTATCCTTTTTAAAGTCCTCAAGGTCTATACTGATGTGCTGTCATTTCTGATACTTGTGATTTGTCTTCTCTTACTAATATCTGCTAGAAGTGTATCAGTTTTATTGATCCTTTATAAGAACAGGTCGTGGTCTTACAATTTCTCTATGGATTGTCTGTTTCTATGATATTGATTTCTGCTGTTGAATGTTTCCTTGCTTCTACTTATTTAGTTTTAATTTATTCTTCTTTTTTTGGCTTTTTAAGAGGAAAGCTCACATTATGTATTTTAGACTTCTCTTCTAATATAAGCATTTCAAGCTATGTATTTACCTCTAAGTAGTGTTTAAGCTGAATCCCACAAATTTTAGTATGTTGTATATTCATTTTCATTCTGTTCAAAGTAATCTCTAATATCCCTTGTGATTTTCTCTCTATGACTCGGGATGATTAAAAAGAAGTGTGTTGTTTAAATAAATATTGGCAAGAGGAAGGGATTTCAAATATATTTCTGTTACTGATTTTTA